CCGCGACGAGTCTCAAAAGGTGCAGTTGCCTGCGTGCGTCACGGTCGCGAACCGCGACGAGTCTCAAAAGGTGCAATTGCTTGCTAGCGTACGTTGCGAATGCGAGCTCCGACGTATCTCAGAATATGCAGTTGCCTGCGTGCGTCGCAACCGTTATCCGCAACGTTTCTCATGATTGACTGGAAATAGGCAGAGAAAGTACCTTTTGGAAATCCAGACGATTCCTCAGTACGAACAGCGTCAATCAAAGTCCAAGAAATGCAATTCCGGATATGATCGCGGAATGCGTACGTCCCTCGTCTGGTGGTATTGCGTGTGTAGCGGGACTTAAGATGGCGACGGATTAATCCGTCGCCAAGCAAGGCGTTGGTCCAGTGAGATAAGCCGAAGCTGAAGCTAACTAACCTCGCAGGTCCTTCTGGTACTTACCCTGTTAATTAGCAGACTCGCAAGATCTCTCAGCGCTTGATTCTAACTCCCCAATGCATCTCTCGATGGTCAGCGGGAATAGAAGATTCACAAGTCTTTATGTACTTCTTATCGGTCCACGAGACAATCCAAGAAGAAGGAGGCAGGTCAAAAGACTGTGTGTTACGGCGCCTCGCCACCAGACTCTCCCACCACCGCGCATGATCACCATGAGCGGCCATTTCGTGCAACGAACTGGTCACTCGCAGCGCCCTCGTTCGTTTGTTAGCGGGACGGCGCGAACGGTGTAATTTCACGGGATCGGATCAAATTCTTTCGTTTTTATACAATTCCGCCCCCCTTCGTTAACATGTGTTAACGAATTAACTAGGAAGCTTGGGTTACACTAGGGAGTGGACAGAGCTTTGTAATCGGTCTTTTGAGCTCTGAAACACTCGTGCGTACGGTAACAACTCTGGTATGACCATGCCTGTGTGAGTTTTAATGACTCTAGCAAGAGGCCATTTTGATGGAGGGTATCGCTCGTCAATGACTAAAACTAATGAACCTTCGTCTAGTGAAGGCACAACTCGGTTCCACTTATACATTGCATGGAGTCGCTGTAAATATTCGGTCGACCATCGTGACCAGAAACTCTGTAACATTTGGGAAATCATTTGCCATCTCGAAAGATATGACAATTTAGTTTGCTTTAGTGAAGGCTCAGGAATGAGAGCAAGGGCGCTTCCAATTAAAAAATGCCCTGGTGTCAGAGCTGATAGATCACTGGGATCGTCAGACAGTGGACATAAAGGTCTTGAGTTGAGTACAGCCTCCACTTGTGCTAATAGAGTCGACATTTCTTCATATGTGAGCATTGTATCGCCTATTACTCGTTTCAGGTGATGTTTTACTAACTTGACTCCAGCTTCCCACTTTCCTCCAAAGTGGGGAGCCGCAGGTGGAATAAATTTCCAATGTGTGCCGTCGTTAGCAAATATGGCAGCTAGTTGCTTGAATTCTTTTGATGATGCGGAAAAGAGACGTTGTAATTCCGAATCAGCTCCCTTTAAGTTAGTTCCGCAATCACTTGTTAAAGTGGCGCATATGCCACGCCTGGCTGTAAATCTCTTATAAGCCGCGATGAAAGCGTCTGTGGAGTAGTCTGTTACCAGTTCTAGATGTATTACCGAAGTGGAAAGGCAAACAAATAAGGCAATGTACGCTTTATATGTCCGAGTATTTCGGCCTCTCCAAGTTTTAATAACTAATGGGCCAGCGTAGTCAATTCCTGAGTTAAGAAACGGCCTCGAAGGAGTAACTCTTTCGATGGGAAGTTGACCCATTAATTGCTGTGCTCTCCGCTGCCGAAATCGAGCACATCGTATACACTTCAGAATAAACGATCGAACAGGGGCCCTTCCCCCAATTATCCAATAATTGTTGCGGATGAAGGACAATGTGACCTGCGTTCCTCCATGAAGGGTACGGGAGTGAGCATCAGAGATTATGAGAGTAGTCAAGATAGAGTCCTTCGGTAAAATAAGCGGGTGTTTAGTATTGTTAGGTAATGACGCGGATTGAAGGCGTCCTCCGACGCGCAGAAATCCAGCTGAATCTATGAATGGCGTAAGTCGGGTTAATGAATTGGATTTAGATAAAGAGTGGTCGGTTGATAAGGTTCTTATCTCTTGGTGAAATGAAAACTGCTGTACTGCTCGTACCCAGTAGAGTGTTGAACTCTCCAACTCGTCTGGCGTTAAGGGGTAAGACATTGATACGGTACGGATTCCCCTTATACGGAATATAACACGTCGACATAGAGCAGTGATGCGGATCAGTCGAGTTAGACTGGAGTATTTGAGTAGCAGAGCCCAAAATCCGAACGGCAATCTCCACGTGCACATTGAGTTACGCTGATGTCGACGGTAATAAACGAAAAACAAGGGTTACTTCAAAAAGCTGTAACTTGGCGAAAAAAAAATCGCAGTAACTTCTTTTTTTTTTTAAATTGAAGGGAAAAGTACACACTTTTTGATACTTCGAGCAGAATTAGCGAGGAAAAATTTCCTACGCCCGGGCACCTGGCCAAAGTTGGTTAGTTTTTAGGTAAAAACATGTCCTTACATTTTAGAAGCTACAGCAGCGCAGATGCATTCGAGGAAAAATCTGGTGACTAGTTTTGAAGCTGAGAGTGCAAGCTTTAATTTAAAA